GGGGCACCCAGGCAGGAGCTGCAGCTTAGTCACTGCACCCAGGAGGCTGAGCAGGGGACCCGCAAGTTCTAGCCCTGCCTGGGCAGCTGTGCACCATCCTGCCTCAAATTTTAAAAGTGCGGGGCCCTGGGGATGCAGCTCAGCGCCAAGGCCCTGGGTTCAATCTCCATACAGAAAAAAAGTACAAAACAGATAGCTTCCTGGAAATGTAGAAAATGTAAAATTCCAGAAAATTACCTGAAATTGCTTGGAAGGTGAATATATTTACTGTGATTCAAGCACTGTTTAACAAAATGAAGAAATATCTTTATGACTAACCTTCCTTTTCCCGGAAATAAACTTCCAGGAAAGATCTGATTTCGTCGGCCACTTCTATCAGAATATGCTTTTCTGGTCAAATCTGCTCTCACAGTGAGATAAACCAAGGAAGGGTCTCCAGAACACTTAACAGCTGCGAACTCCACGAAAAGCGGCCCTTTCCCCAGTCCTGCAGGGGGCCCAAGCGCACAGGTGAGGATGTGAAGGTGCACAGCACCCTCTGCCGGGGATGCATGGAAGCTCTCTCCCCATATGGCCCCTGCCTGGACCTCCACATGCTCAGCACCCAGTGACAGGGACTGGGAGACAAAGCCGCCAGCAACCCGACAGCAGGTGGGCACAACAGGCAGGCACAGGGTCATCCCTGCCACAGCTTAGCCCTCCGCAGGATCCACGGAGGAGGAGATGTACACGGAGACAGCTGCTTCCATAAGCTGGGATCTACACAGCAGCCGCTCCTTCCCCCATTCCCAAAGGACAACAGAGTCTCAACACAGACCGCCCAGCTCCCACAGCCAATCCTGATCCTCCCTGCTGGTCAGGGCCGGAATACCCGGCCTCGGCACTTGCAGACTAGACATCAACGGGAGGTTTGTAAGCCTGCGGCAGTGTGCTTGGAAAACGCACCGCCACGAGCCTGCTCTCTGGTCACCACCGTCTCTGCTTCTAAACGAGCTCCTCCTGTTTGATGTTTAGATTTTTTATTTTGCTTATTGTATTCTTTTTTTTTTACTTAACTCCCCCCTTGCCATCACCATTAAAGAATTTTTTTGTCTTTCTTGAAGTCAAACTTATCAGTGTTTTCCACCGGCACAAGTGGATTTTGAGTCATAGTTACACTCCCACTCTCAGTTTAGAGATTGGCCCATTTGTGTTTTCTGCAGTATCGTGCGTGGTCTCTAGGAACATTCTTGTACAGAGTTCTGAGCCATCTGACTACTTTTCTATCGTATACTGAGCATGGAATTTTTTTATCCTTTTCTTTATTGCTACTCAATGATTCCAGCGCTGCGTGTTGATACATGGCTTCCTTCTAGTGATCTGATGCTGACTCCACTGTACAGTCGCCTTTAGCTTTTCCTGTCTTCTTTCATTGTGCTACCTGTCCATTTTAGTTTAAAAAAAAGACTTTAAATCCGGGCATGATGGTACATACCTGAAGTCCCAGGGGAAGAGCCCAGGCTCAAGGTTAGCCTGGGAAACTCAGAGGCTGTGTCTCAGAACAGAAGAGGGCCATGGTGTAGTTCACTGCAAAAGGCCTGGGCTCAACCCCGGAGAAAGGGGGAAAAGACTTACTCATCTTGAATGCTTTTCTGGGTTTTCTTGGGTATTCTATCCTGCTTATTTTTGCAAATAAATCCTATAATCAAGACACTTGAGTCTGAAACAAAACCCCACTGCCATAATGCTGCTGAACCCTTCTAAGAATGCAGCTGGGTACTGTTTGCACGATTCTACTGGTGCATTGTGGACTTTTAGAATTTTCCTAATAAATGCTGTGGCTATTTCCTCTGAAGTTTTTGCCTAGGTCCTGCGCATCCATCCATCCATCCATTTAGGTCAAGAATGTATTCTCCTGTACCATGAATGAGAACAAAACTCATACAAGTTAGGACTATTCAATGGTAAAATTGACACTCCACTCATTTCTGTAGAAAATGCTAGAATATCTGACTGTTATAGCCAGAATGGTGCCAACCCTGCAAGGTAATTCAGTGGGTTCTCCACTGGGCACAGCTGATCTCAGAGTGCATGAAACACTGGAAGGCCCTCAACAGCAGCCTGCAGACTAAACCGACTGAGGAAACATGAGTCTCATGGTGATGGGGCTGTGGGAGTCACACATCTTTCCCAGTGGGCGCTGGTCTGTTTTATAGCAAAGAACACTGTGTTATTTTGGGTTAATGAACTGTAGCTTCTTCTGTATTCAGAAAATGTCTGTGACGTAAACTAGAGACCCCAAGTACAAACAAACCAAGGATCAAAATAAAAGACACAATAGGAAACAGGGAGATGGATCTTTTACAAAGGGAAGGAGATCTAGAGACGGAGGGAGGGGACTAAACTGAAAGCACACAGATGTGTCCTGCATGTACCCACCTGCTGTGAGGTAGTCATCATGTACTGGCTAATAGCAAGTTTGCAAATCGTTTAGAAGAAGAAGCCCCTCACAGCACTGCTGACATAACGAGCTCGGGCAAAGTCTTGCCAACCACTATGACTGAAGAAAATCTGTTCCTTGAAAACCGCCCTTAATTTCACTTGGGTGGACCTGGTCCAGGTAGGCAGCCCAGGCTGGATGTGCTGGGGCCCAGGGGCCCTAGGGAGTCCACACAGCAACTCCTCTGTGAAGCTGGAATGTTCTCATTCGCGACAAACCCATGAGGTTTCCACATGCACACACACAAACTCACGGGAAGACACACACATGCGCGTGAGTGCACATATCTTTTTTTCTTAGATGGTACAGAAGAGTTCTGCCCACCGTCTCCATTACCCGGGTCAGACATTGGTGGACCCTCTGCTCTGGCATCAGAGGACTGTGGGGCCTTTCCAAGGTCATTCACATGACCTTGAGAGTGGTGAAGACGTGGGACCCCTCAGGTGTGTCACAATGCACAATGTAAATCAGCCACTAATGCCAGGGACCGCGGAAACAGGCCTGGGTTCAAATCCCAGCCTTTCTGAATTCTAGCTTTACCACTAGTGAAACTGGCTTTGCAGTGTTGACTTCAGTGTCTTCGTGTATATAACGAACGGTATGAGTGCTCCCCTTCTCTCCCTGGTTGCCAAACAGACTAATTGGGGCTGCACTCACACGATAACCCAAAGAATCAACAATGAGGAGAGCAAAACAAAGGCAGACAACAGGAAACAGGGAGGCAGATCTGGAAATGGGAGGGAGCTAGCGAGGGGAAGGAAAAAGAATGGGGGTGCGCCCTGGGCACACACCAGCTCCCCGAAAATAAAGAGTTAACAGTGAATTGAGTCTAAAATTCGGGCAATTCTGACAGGAGAGGAGGGGTCAGGACGGGGTCGGGGAGGCCCCACTTAGCGAGGCTTGCCAAAGGACACAGAGGGCGAAAGGCCACGGGGTGGCGAATGTGAGGTACTAGGCAGCCGTGGGGCATTGGGCCAAGTGGGGCGCACAGGCCCTGGGTCCTTGGATGGAGCTCCTCCCCAAGGCTGCAGACCCCTCATCTGCCAGTGGTCTCGCAGTGCTGCCAGTACCAAGCCGCGTGTCCACGCAATGGCTCTCTTTGTCTCATTATTAGTAGGAAACAGCACTAGGTATCAGGATACACGGTTAATATTTACACTGAAGACAGTGATTTCAGTAAAGATACCTTGCCACGAGTCCTTCTCAAAATGCCCCACTCTGAACGCCTCATCCCATGGTTCATCCCATTTCTGAAGCAGCTCTGGAGTCCTCTTCACTGAGTGCTGTTGTGTGTAATCAAAAGTATGGTGACTGCCGAGTGCCATCCGATGGGAAGGCAGCTCATAACAACATGGCACCATGTCCTCATCCACCTTACCCACCGGAGCTGGCTGTGTGACTTCCGGCTTGGCCCCAAGGCCACAGTGACTACAAGAAGGAAACATATTGAATGGATTCAGGACATCAGGGTGGCCCCCACAGCATAACTACAGACCCTGAGGAAAGAGGACTCCAGAGCTGCCGCAGGAAGTGGCGAGGACGATGGGATGAGTGTGTTTGAGCGGAGAGGGCAGATTTTGAGGGGCACTAAAGGCAATGCATCTTTTACTGTAATAAATTTTTAAAAATTTAAACATTCACCATACTTTTCTATTGCACTCTGTACATGCCTGCTAAACTGGGGAGAGAAGGGGATCACTCATACACAAGGTAAGGGTCTTTTTTGAGTAGTTCAGAGGAATTTATAGTTTCAGGACTCATAACATCATCAAAACATCTTTGTTTCTGCTCTTTGTACTATGACTTTAAATTACTCTATGACATTAAATAAAAAACTAACTTTAAGTCTTATTTCCTAAAGAGTGGCAGTGTGAATACTTGTCGTGGGGTGTGTCCCTGACCTGTTGGAGAGGAGAGGGCCTCTTACCCCAGAAGGGAAGGCACCAGGTTGGTGTGTGCTCTCCTACTGGTCCTTAGCTCTTCATTTGGTAGCTCTCAAAGGCGGACACATTTGTAGAGAAGCAGACTATCGTTTTTTTGTTTTGTTTTGTTTTTGAGAGCTAGTCCTTGCTACATAGTTCAGGCTGGTCATGAACTCACTGTGTAACCCAGGCTGGCCTCCACTCACAGCCATCCTCCTGCCTCAGCCTCCCGAGTGCTGGGATGACAGGTGTGCACCACCACACCCAGCAGAACTGCCATATTCAAAACTTCTCCGATTCCTGTCCATAGCTGCATGCTGAGTGTCAAGCACCTGCCAGCTTGCCCAGCACTGGTCCCTGCCCAGGCCTGGTCCCCGCAGGCTCTGCATTCCGCTTGGAAGGGAACAGCTTTATCCCAGAGAAACAGCTGCTGTAGGGCCAAGGGTGGAAATGCAAAGCGGTGATTGCTGTGCACTCCTCTTACTACAGGAATTCCTCCTCAGCATACCTTTTCAGAAAATTCCAAGACAGGTTCAGTACAAGCGTCTCAAGAAACCATTTTATGCAATGCAAAATCATATGTATATGTAACCCATTACCTTACTACTGCTTCTTTTATTAACTTTGAAAAATCCCAGAAATTTTTTCTTCTCTTTATCGGTCTCATCATTGCTGAGTGATGATTTTCTAAATGTTTCTGGAAAAAAGGAGAACCAAGTTACTTCTCAGCATTTGGAAGAAGACATTCATTAAACCATTTCACTTTTTTAAAAACTGCAATAAATGAAGTTTTCACTCTTAAACTGGTAGTAATTCTTCTAAGAGAGGAAAGCCATCAACTGTTTCTTTCACAGCTTCTGCAACTCAGCTCCCTAGATGCCTTGGGCACACTTCAGAAATCACAGGACATTCTAACGCTGCCTCTAGGGCTAAGGCCACATTTTCTCTGGTGCGGCCGGTCCCGTTTAGAGAATGAAAAGCTAAATGCAGTGGACCCTTGACTTACAAACTCAGTTCATTCCTGAGGGCTGCTTGTAACTCAAGGTGGTCTGTGAAGGCTCAGACTTCTCTACACAGCCTTCAAAGTCTCTCTCTTGCACACAGGCAGATCTCAGTGATCCTGAGACGCTGGCCCAGGATTTCTGAGTGAACCCCACACAGGAAGGATGCTGTCATGTTCATTCCAGAGCTCTAAGGATTAGATCTGTATCTGAGACCATCTGGAAGAGCAAGCAGCTGGCAGTAAGGTCATAACTCAAGACTTCGTTTATAAGTTAAAACTAAAATTTTGGTCATAACCCAAATTGTCCTCATGTCAGGCCAGTTGTAACTTGAGGGTCCACTGTAAATCAAGGAGCATTCTAAGGCCAGGCTGTCCAAGAGAAAGCTGATACAAACCATGTGCCACGTTCTACCTGACAGCCGCTGTACTTGGACACCCAGGCGAGAGACTCCCCACGGTAACTCTGTAGGACCCAAGGGGTGCCATCCCTTCCACAACCAGTGTACATGCTGCTGGCGCTTTACTTCTAACTCGGCGCAGAGTGGGGTGGACAGTGGGTCTCTGCGTGGACAGGTCACCTGGGGTGCCCATGGTCATTTGCTGCACAGCACAGCTCCAGAGATGATGACATCAGGCAGAATGCCAGTAAAGAACCATGAAGGAGCCAGGCGTGGGGGTGCCTGCCTGCAAGCCCAGCACTCTGGGATGCTGAGCAGGAGGATCACAAATTCTAGGCCCACCTGACCAACTCAGCAACTCAGCAAGGGGCCTGCCTCAAAATTTAAATAATGTAAAAGGAAAAAAATAAAAATTAAACTTAAAAAAATGTAAAAAGGACTGGGGCTAGAGCTTAGTGTGAAAGCCCTAGGTTCAATGCTCAGTATCATAGAAAAAGACAAAACAAAAAAACAAAACAGAATCAGGGATGAAGAGCAATTGCAAACCAGTCTTCCTTCTCCTTTCTAGAATCCGGAGGAACAACCGTGGGTGCCCTGGCATTGGAAAGTTGCCGCCAGAGCTCCAGGACCACATTTCCGGATCCCTCTCTCCCACAGCAGCCACAGCGTCCGCCCATGAGTTGCAGCCTCCAGGGGGCGATAGTTTGCTAGGGTTCCTTTCCTTCTTTCTTCAGTGCTGGGCTCTGCCTTTCCAGGTCTTCTCATCCCAGTCCCTGGCCCGCGGCATCGGCCCCCACTGGGACCTGGGAGGGTGTCAAGCCCAGGGCTGTCCTGACCCTGGATGGGGGAACCCTCCCTCCGGACTCTTCTACCTGGATGGATGGACGCTCCTATTACTCACTGACTTGCACACAAAGGTCCCTCCTCCAGGCCTCGCTGCTCACTTGCCCCACCCTCTCCCAGGGAGTGAACACAGCCAGGGCAAGAGGACCACACAGCCATTCCTGCAGGGCAGGAAGCTGACCTCCCGTGTCACCTTCATAACAGCCAGCCCCCAGTCTGTCCCCAGAGCTCATAGCCAGGAGTTTACAGACTCTGCGGCCAGCATCCCAGCAGAACATGCTAACAGCCCCTCACACCCAAGTTAGAGACCAGGCAGCAGCCAGGGCATTAGTGCACATGCCTGACCATGAAAACCAGCCACACAGGAAAACCACACCGGGCACGCACCCCCTAACCATGGTGTAGGGGCTGGGGCTCAGCCATGGGCAGGGGAGGTTAGTGGGACCCTCACCACACCACTTTCAGGCCAGGACCCAGCGGGCACCACGCAGCCATGGGTACTGGCGTGCAGGGAGTCACAGGGGGAGCACAGTATGGCGAGCAGTGCCATGACTGAGCCATGGCACGCTGTCTGTGCATCCAGCTTCATCGTGGCCTCCATGTTGGTGTGTCCTGGGTATGTGTGTCTGCATGTGCTCACGCGGGCAGCATGAGAGGGAGGACGCCTATCTGGAGAGGCTGCAGCAGAGCAGTCTGGGTTCCTCTCCCTGTCCATCCCCAGGGAAAATGCCAGAGGCAGGGCTAGGGCAGGCCCTGAGAGTTGGGGTGCTGAATTCTGGCCATGAGGGGCTTTCGGGGGCGGTCTGGGCCAAGGGGAGCTGTGCTGCTGCCGGAGGCGACTCTGGGTGTAGCAGACACCAGTTTAAGGGAGAAAAGTGGGTGGTGGCATGGGACAGAGCCTGCGGGCTGCCCAGGGTCCATCACAGCCCAGAAGCAGGAGCAGCCGGCCCTGGAGCACACACACCCCAGGGGCAGATGAGTGAGGGTGATTGTGTCAGATTCACTGTAGTTTATAGCTAAATACTGACAAAAGTTAAGTCAAATACTGATAAAAGCTTTATTCAGGGGTCACATTTAATTGATAAGAAAACTCTCCCTTTTTCAAAAGCATTAAAATTATTTAGTCTGGGGCCAGGGATTTAGCTCAGCAGTTTGGTGGCATGCCTTGCAAGTGCAAGGACCCAAGTCAATCCCCGGTACCAAAAAAAAAAAAAAAAAAAAAAAAAAAAAATTATTTAGTCCGGGCATGGTGGTGCACACCTATAATCCCAGCACTCTGGGAGGCCGAGGCAGGAGGATTATAACTTGGAGCCCATCTTGAGCAATTTAAGAACTTAGTGACACTGTGCCTCAAATAATGAAAATAATAATAATGTAGCTCTCGTGAAAGCCCTGGTATTTATCCCTAGTACTGCAAAATAAAATGATTTTGAAAATGATAAAGATGAAGAGTCAGACACAGAGGAAGCTGAAGGAAACCTGGAAGGCTGAGCAGTCTGAACCACTCGATTGTCCCAGAAAAACTACAAATCCAGGCAGTGCAGCGGGAAAAACAAGGGCACTGGGCTGCCAGGTGGAGGCACAGACTCAGCGGGCTCCCGTCCCTGGAGGTTCTGAGCCAGCATGGCGAGCCACCAGACCTGGGTGGGGAAGGGGCACTAAGGGCCCTCTCTCCTGGCCTCCACTGGCCCAGTCAGTGCCCCCAGAGTGCCTGCAGCACCCCCCCCCAGACCCAGCGAGGGCAGTGCTGCCCTGTCCATGGCACAGGCCATGCCTTTAGGGCACCAAGTCCAGGCTGTTGGCTCCCTTCAGCAATGAGCTGGACGGACTTAGATCTGGTGCTAAGAACTTTAACAGACAGGGACAGGCTCTCTGCAAAAGGTGAGGCTTGCTGGCATGAAGCTTCCAGCATGTACACGTGTACCTGCGCGTGTACCCACAGAGATCATGGAAGCCGTGTTGACATGTGGGGCAGGGGCACGCATGGATTGGCTTGTGTGTACATGCACCTTTGCCCCCTCCATCCCTCCGCTGTCTGAGTTCTGCACACGGATACACCGGTACCTCTGTCTATAGACAGAACAGGGGCACTCTGTGCAGAGTCCTGACACAAGTGCCAGACACACAAGAGTCTGGGTGAGTGTTTGCCACGTGTACAACAGGAGGTGATGTTTTGAGGCCCCTAGTGCCGTCTGCCCCACGCAAGCAGAGCAGGGTGGTTAGTGTAAGGGCGGGAGGAGGACGGCGCTGTCCTCACTCCCACCCCCTTGCAGCAACAGAGTTGGGGCCTAGGCCTCCCTCGACCCCGTTCCCCAGCTCCTTGCACAGCGCCACTCTTCTTTGAGCCACCAAGAAAGCACTGTCAGCTTGTCAGGCACACAGGCATCCCCTGCCGTGCAGAATGTGGCCCTCAGCCCACCGTACCTTGGCAGCTCAGGGACGGCTCGGACTGCGTTTTGGTCAGAACTGGAAAAGGCAGGCAGGAGAGTGAGGGCTCCTTTCAGAGCTGCAGCCCCACCCAGCCCCACCTCCATTGGGGTCTGTGCCCCCTGCGACAGGGCCACTTGAAGAGTTGCTCTGCTGGGGCCTCCTAGGGCCCTGCACTGCAGGATGCTGGGCCTTGTGGCTGTGGCAGGTGGCAGCTGCGCCCATGTTTTCACACTGCCTCTGCCAAGCTCTTGCTTCCCTGAAGCTGCTCAGCCTGGGTTGCAAGGCAGCAGGGCTGGGGAGGGATGGCCACTCCACTCCAGGCGTCCATTGGCCTGGCCAGCTGCAAGAGAGAGGGGCCTGGGAGGCACTGTCTGCAGCCCTTCTGCTCCAGAGCCTGGGGTGCAGGAGCGAGGTGCATGCGAATGGCAGGGACCAAGGTATCAAGGCCAGCCCGCGCCAGGGCAAAGGGTGCTGGTGGCCTGGGGTGCAGTAGCCTCCCCATGGCACAGGGACAACGCCCAAGGCAGGCAGAGGGGCTGGGGCTCAGACAGCCACTCCCAGGAGGATGGTCCAGTGCAGGGGCCACATCCTCAAGGTCTGGATGGAGAGGTCCATGCTCGGCCTCCCTGCTGGCAGCATCCCATGGGTTGCTGGCCCCTGCCCTCCTCCCTGGCCCACTCTGCACAGCTTCCTGGGACCAGGAGTGATTCAGGCCACTCAGATGAGCCAGGGTATGTGTGGTAGGAGTGCGCCCTGGCACAGCCTTCGGTCTCGGCCCCCGAGGCTGGGCGGCTGCTCTCCATCCTCCCCCACTGCTCTGATGAAGTAAAGCTGTGGCTTCTGAGACTCAGATCATCACGTCTACTGGTGGTTACACAGCCAGGCACTGAGGCTGACAGGATGACCAGGTGACAAAGGCCCCAGGCAGCCGGTGTGCACAAGGACCCGAGTCGTCCAAGCCCAGCGTGGCAGTGAAAGGCCAGCCACTGTGCAGGACATGGAGGCATCTCCCCAAGCTCCAAGCAGTGTCTGGGAGGCCCTGGACTGAACTGACCCTTAAATATCAAAGGGCAGCAAGGACACAGGGCCAGGAGGGCGGCTGACACAAGGGAGGGGAAAGGAGGGGCTGCATCGGGACCACTGAGCTAACAGCCTGCTGACAACAAGAAACAGGGCACTTTATTGGAAGGGTTCTGAAAAAAAGCTGCAGAAAAGCTTGAGTGTGTGTGCATCTTAAAAGTCATCCTATCTGACATGTGGGGCGCCAACAGCACAGACAGCAGCACTGAGTAGGGTCCACGTCCACGACCTCTGTGTGACAGGGGCGCAGCTGCAGGGTTGCCCTGGCCCGCTAGCACCGGGGTCAACAGCGGCAAAGCCATCCTGGGCCTGGTCCAGGCCCGAAGGCGGCCAGCCTCCGAGCACAGCTAGAGGCGTGTGTCACTCTGATCCTGGAGAGAAGCAGCATCTTCAGGCCCTGGAGCAGGGCTGATCACTGAGAAGAAAAACCCAGAGAAATCCGTGCATGGCTTGTGAGCAGTTAGAGCAGAAGGTGTTTTTCTCCCCATCTTTCCTTGCCTTTTACTTAACAAAGCTCACAAGAGACAGAAGGCAGCAGCCATGATCAGAACTGGATGGAAGAGGTGCAATTAGAATCGAGAGTGTGGAAATGGGCCAGCTTTCCTCCTTCCTACTTCAACCCTGGACCAACTCCGAGAAGCCTGAAAATCCACATCCCAGGCAGGAGCGCTGGGTGGAGCATGCGCGCACATGTGCGTGTGTGCACTTGAGCGCCTGGCGCAGAGCCTCACCTCTCCGGTTGTCCCAGGCATACAGCTCCTTCACCCCCAGCTCGCTTAGGGACTTGGACAGCTCCAGCTCCTCCCCAGCAGCGCTGTCACGCAGCAGGACCACGTGCTCGGGGCTAACGTCGCACTTGGCGCAGATGAGCGGCAGGACGCTGCGTAGGGGCGCAGAGGGGCTCACGCGCACCACAGCCTTCTGCGTGCGCAGGTAATTCACCACCAGGCGCATGGACTTCTGCAAGGCAAGGGCGGGGGCTCCCTGAGCTGAGCGCGGGATGCGCAAGGGGAACCAGAGATCCGCGTGTGAATGCACACTTTCTAAAGGAAAAGTCTGGATGCGACATGAATAATTTAAAAATCCTCAACACAAAACATCAAATTCCTGTAAGTCAAAACGCCCACTATGACGTGCTGTGTGAACATTTACGTATATGTCCCCACGTGAATGCACACAGCATGCTCTGTACATGTGTATAAGGCACATACAGGCAATGTGCACAGACAGGATTTGTTTCGGTGCTGGTGACTGAATCTAGGGCCTTCATCTGAGATACATCTTTGCCCTGTTTTGGTTTTTTATGTTGAGGCAGGGTCTCACTAAGTAAATTGCCCAAGCAGAGCTTGATTACATAATCCTGCTTCAGCTTCCCAAATAAACAGCCTGAAATAAAGCTATTGGGAAATGCCCAGACACAGTGCATAAAAATGTTTTGACACCAGTTTTTCAAAAATACCCCTCCCTTCTTTCTCCCTCTAGGAAGACCATAACATCTCGTCTGGATCCCAGAAGAAGTCCCTATTGCCCTGTCTCCTTGGCGAGCACAGCCAGTTCATCCTGGAGACTCACTTGCTCTTTCATCCTAGCCACATTTCCAGGGCTAAGTGGACCCCGTGGCCAGCACCTGCCATACTGGAAATGTAGAATTGTGGACCACTTCCATCTGCACACATCCCGGTGCACAGCTCTGCTCTGCACCAGTTGCATGCACGTGGAAAGCCCTGCCATTCTGAGGAAGCCAGGAGCTCTGTACCCAATGCCGCCCATGCCTCCCGCACCAAGGCACTGCCCACTGACCTCGGGCTCCTTGCGGGGACTGGGTTTCACCTTCTCTTCTGGAACTTTCTCTTTCAGAAACACAGTATGCACATTCAAGGTCCCGACCAGGGTATTTGGCTTGAAACTCAAGGGTTGCTGGGTTTCCGAGGACCGGATCTCCAGCGCATAGTGGGAAGGATTCAGGTGATTCTGCAGGCAGAGCTCAACCAGCAGATCCATCATTGCATGGCTGAAAGAGGAAAAGGAAAGTGTAAGTGTTAGGAGCGTTGGTGCAGCCCTTCTGCGGGCTCTGGGAGGGTAGGTAACAGAGTGCGTGGAGCGACGAGAAGATTAAAGATGAGACAACAGCAGCTCGTTACTTTCTTCTGCATGACCAGCACCATGTGGTATTCTCAGCTAGTAAGGAACAAAATGTCACAGCTGGATAAGAGTTAAATCCATGGGTGAGCTGAGCTGTGTCATCCAAAGTGGATCAGCACAATGGACGCTTCTTACGGGCACAGGACAGTGCCTTCTCAGTTACCTGCAGAGCATCAGAGAAACGAAGTTCAAAGCTGAAGGTGAAGGCACTCAGGGACGCTAATGCACCAGCACATCGGGTGACCCAGAAGCAACAAAGACCTAGACAGGTTCAACCTGCCGAGGAGGAGCCAAGGGGAGAGGGAAATGCTCACTGGCTAGCAAGACTGGGCCAGTTCTGAGCTCTCACCACGCACAGAGAGGAGCCCAGTGGCAAGCTCTACAGAACATGTGGAGGCACCTCTTTGGCTCCTTAGGCTCCCACACAGGATGAAAGTGGGGACATCCCAAACAGTTCACGAGACCAGCACCAGAGACCAAAGACTGCACAGGAAAAGGAAACCACAGGCCAGTGTCTCTGGCACACATGAATGTGAAAATCTTCAGTAAGATACCAGCAAGCCAAGCGCGGTGGCATGTTCCGAAGATTCCTTCCCAGGACCAAGTGGGCTCCGTCCCTGGGGGCAGAAACACCCGTGCAACACAGCGTATTTATGGCGTGGGTCATAAAAAGCCCATGTAGTTGTCTCAACTGATACAAAAAAAGCATCTAATAAAAGTCAACATCCACTAAAGATTTTTTTAAAATTGGGTTGTCACTATGGATGCCTACAATCCCAGCACATTGGGAGGCATTACGTGTTTGAGCCTGGCCTGGGCATCTTGGTGACTTAGCAAGACTCTGTCTCAAAATAAGAGTTTAAAGAGTGTTGGGGATGTAGCTCAATACAAAGGCCCTGGGTTTGATTTTTCACAGGAAACATCCCAAACTGCCCCATTTCCTCTTCTAGTGCTACTGGTAACTGCTTTGAGCCTTGTGTGGATCGACCCAGAGCAGCACCGTCTCTAGGACCCCAGGACCGTGGTCATGCTCCAGCCCTCTAGCCTGCACTCCAAAACAAGGAGCTGGGGAAGCTGGCGCCTGTCACTCATGGGGCCTTTGGCGGAATCAGAGAGGCTGTATAGGCGGATTGGAGCTCTTCATCTTTATCGCCCCAGGAGCTGACTGGAAGGAAACAGCAGGAGGCTCCTGTGCACAGAGGGGCAAACAGCCCAGGGGTGTAGGGTGCAGGGGACTGAGCACCTATGGCTCCATATTCAAGATGTTTTCCTTGGAGACAAGGTCTTACCAAATCGCTAAGTTTCCCAGGCTTGAATTTGAGACCCTCCTGGCTCAGCCTCCCAGAGTGCTGGCGTGGCAGGCTGTGCAGCTATGTTTTCATCTGTTGAGAGCTTAAGTAGTTGATCAGTAATCTCCCTGCTCCGACTTACAGCAGTGGGGGACGGCAAAGAAAAGACAGCCACACAGTACAGCACAGCGAGAGGAGAAGAGAGCAGAGCTTTCAGCGCACTGGCAAGGAAGAGCGGAGCCTGCACCAACTCAGCTGGAGGAGCGAAGGGCCAGGTCCACCCTGGGGCCGGAGCCCGTTGGACAGACAGAGCAGTTCTGTGGCAACACGTGGCGCTTTGGTCTCGGGTTTGCCCTGTGCTGCCTCCACTGTGTGTCCCGCAGCACGGCCTCCCCTCAAAGGCAGAGCTGGCAGTGCTTTAGTTGAAGCCAACTTTCACTTAGGACTAAAACTAAAGTTAAAAGCAGGCGCAGGCGAACCTGGTGCAGGCGAACCTGGCACAGGCCCTGGTCTTGTCAGCCCAGGCGAGGCCTGTGTCTATGTGGTGACACCAGAGATGCTGAGCTCCATGCTGCCCTCCTGGTCGTCCCGGAAGAGGGGGCTCCCTGGGCCTGGTAATGCTTGCTGCCCACCCAATCCCTGTGCATCTCTCCACCTTCCCAGTGCTCGCTCGGCTCTTACCAAGTCCCCACCCTGGTCTGAGCCTGAGCTACCTCCTCTAGGGGCTGGGCACCTTCCCAGGGTGCTTGGGGCAGCCAGCTTGGGTGGACACGGACTCTCCGTGCCTCAGTTTCCCCATGGTGAGGGTACAGCGGTACAGCATTGCTAGAGTCATGAACCAGCCCAGCATGGTGCCATTCTTGGGGCAGCCTCAGAGCAGCAGGTCCAGTAAGCAGGTGTGTTGCTTTGCTGCTGCCTTTCCTGGATTGGGTGTGAAGCAGGGAGACATCACTGCCTCAGCCTCGAAGATCTGTGTTTGGCTGGACTCCACCTTGCTCTAAGCAGACGGCAAGAGTGGGGATCCTTTCCGTGACACCAGGGGCAGCAGGGCAGTACCCACTGATGAGGGATGTACTGGGACAGCGACACTGTATCTTGGGAAATGCAGGCCTGTCGGGAAGGCTGCTAGGGCTGGGATCTCCCTGTAGGACATCCTGTAGGGACCCCGAGAAAGCCGGGATGAGCGTGTGTCTGTATGTGTGTCCCTGCCTGCCTGCCTGTCTCCCTCCAACCATGCTCGGGTTGGGTCTCAGCTTCAGTGGAGCAGCACACAATGACAGAGGGATGGATGGTTCCAGGCCCTGGGAGCAGGGGAGTCATGAGAATGGACCTCAGATTCTTTCCCCACTTTTCTCAGCTGCTGTTGTTTCTTCCAACTTTACCACTCTGTTCCCGATGTCTTTTAAGTGCGTACCATTTAGAACTGAAATTTAATTTTGGGCATTTGCTGTGATCTGTTTTTAACTTTTAAAAGTGAGTAGAGTTTCTATATTTCTTCCTTTGATAAACATAATTCTCTAAGTGAACAGTCAAAAAACACTGTGTTTGTGAGCTTGGTGACTATGGGAGGAGCACTAATCCTCCATGTGACTGTGAATTCCTGAGGGCCCAGCGTAGGGGGACACTGGGGTGGGGCACAGTGCCTGGGGCCCACACCCTGGGATGCAGATGTCTGTCAGGCCTGGCCCGCTGGAGCTTCCCCCCTGCTTCGCCCACCCATGTACTGACACCCTGGGAACGGATGGTGGTGTTGGAGACACAGATAGGCCAAGGCAGGACCCAGGAGGACCAGACAGCCTACCTGCCCAGAAGTTGACTGCATGAGACAGGTTCCCTGAACAGGAGACGGCACATGAGGTCCAGAAACGCATGGGACTGTGCCCTTCCTGTGCCCTGGCCTTTTGTGGCCTGTACCTCAGAGGCTCCTGGGGAGCCCGAGCCCCTGTGTCAGGCTGTGAGAAGTCTGGTGCTCTCTGAGGGTCCCCTGCCACCAGGGCCCAGACACAGTCGATTGCCTCAAAGCTACTCATAGGTGAGTGATGTCACCTGCCCTCTCCACCCAGTCCTGGATCGGAGAACAGGCAGCTCATACCTGTCCCTGGGCATCCGCATAGCCATGCTGCACAGAGCCTGGGTGTACCGTAGGACCCTGGGGCAGAAGTGACATCCGTCCTGCCGGACTCCAGACGCACCTCTTCCCAGGCTCCCTCTGGCTCACCCGGGCTCCACCAGGCCTCCTCGCTCCTCCTTCCGGCTCTCCTGGGCGGGGCTGGTCATACAGCACCTGGACATCTGCTCACCTCTGCTTCAGCATGGCCCAGAGCCCTGACTTTCATGTCTCAATTCAGAGAAGCTCAAAAATGAAGAAAGACCACTGATTTGCAGCCTGCGGCCATCAGCTCTTGACTGCTGACACATTTTCCTCATGAGAATCTTTATGTCTGGAGCACATAGTCCAGGCTGGTGGTCGTGGAAAGCTGAGCGAATTTTCTACTGAAACCACACTCACACAGTGGAGAGAACCACAGAGAATAACTCAACTAGGTCTCTGCTTGGAGACAGAGCCCACTTCAGCCCACTCCTGGATCACCGAAGAGCATTACGCACAGGGCCATGTCCCTGGCACAGGTGTCTTGAGGAAGCTGGGACCCTGTTCTGCCTGTACCACTGCAGCCGCCCTGGGAGAGGGGATGGGAACTCGCTTTGAGACCAGAGAAGTGACCCAAACATTCGACTGTTGAAGTTGTTCCTTATTTGGATAATGACCTTACAAAGCTGCGTGCAGGCAACTTCTGCTCTATCAGGAAAGAGGAGGCTAAGGCTACTGGTAGAAGAATGTGTTCCTTTAAAAGCATCTTTTAGAAGAGGTTTTTCCTTTCCAGGCATGCACCCCATCTTCCCTCCCACATCTAGAAGAGCAGATCCGGGCCTCACAGTACTGAGACAGAAGACATTGACATTTTTTTGGAAAAAATATGTAACTAGGAATTGGGCCAGCATACAGGGATGGGAACAGGCCTTAACACACCCACCGGCAATGTGTCTTGCATGCTCTAGAACATTTCAAGAGGAAGGTGCGTGCCATGGCATACTTCTTCAGTTCGGAGGAGAACTGGGTGGAAAATTTACTTAACAGTGCTGAGGGCTCTAAGACAAAGAAACACAGACTCTCACAGCCCCACTGCCTGGTGCACAAACCCAGGCCACGGGAATGCCACAAGGTACTGGCCACCCCTGGCACCTCCCACACCGGCCCTGGGCAGGTCTCTGGCATCTTCTGGGCTGCAACCCCAGCAGGGACGATGGCCACAAGCAGGACCCCACGCGTGGAGTAGCCCCTGCCATCCTGCTGCCACTGCACCAGACAGTGGCGTCTGTGAAGCCACATGAGACGGGTGGGGGTGTGGGCAGTGTCCACCGGGCCCACTCACAGCCCCTGAGGTGACTTTCAGTTGCTGTACCCTTCTGGGGAGACCCCACGTGAGGAGGCTCAGCAGTGGAGTTCTCTCCTGAAGGACAAGGGGAGCCCAGCAGGCCAGGCTTCACATGCATTCCAGGGACGGCTCAGGGGTTCATGTTCCTATGGCCCTTGTGGGATCCCTACCCATATGGGGTGCAGTGAGCTCAGCATGGCCCTTACCTCCCGCGGACCACACTGTGCTTCTCCAGCCCGCTGGGCAGGACCACGGTGACGTCCACAGTGCTGTCACGCAGCGCCTCCTGCTGGTGGATGAGGTTCTGGGGGTAGCCGAGGGCCATGTCACAGGGAGGCATCAGGTCTGTGGGGTCCCTCAGCAGGGCTGGCTTCCCCGGAGGTGGGGGAGCACGGGCCTTCATCTTCCTCCTGTAGGAAGATAACAGCACCGATCACACCGTGCATGCTCCACACAGCCCCACACCTGCTCTGAGCATCTGCTTTTGCTTTGGCATGCCTTCCTGTTGGGCAGTCTAAAAGGCAGACTTTGAGATACGATCAAATACTACCAGGAGTGTTTCAATAAAAAATACTATAGCAGAGGGCAGAGGTAAGGGGAAAAAAAAAAATGAGAATCAAGACTTGCCATGTAAAGGTACATGATCCCAACAATAAATGTAACTGTACTGTATCCCTAAATGTACCAATAAACTCAATAAAAAAAAAATACTATAGCAAAAGATGCACTGCCATAATCCCTCTCAAAATACTCCCCCAACATATACTCTTTGAACACCCTTATCCCACTGTTCTTGCCACTTTCTGAAGCCGCTCTGGAGTCCTCTTTCCTGAGGGTCTTTATGAGGCGTGATCAGAAATACAGTGAGTGCTGCTGCTGAGTGCCATCAACAGAAAGGCAGCCCATAAACACACGATGCTGCATCCTCCTCCACCTCGTTCACCTGGTCTGGCACTGCGGGACTTCCACTCTTTACCAAGGTCAAAATGACCAGGAAAAGGAAACATTCTGAGGCAATTCAGGACACTGAGGCAGCCAGGGCAGTGCAATTGCTGACTGTCAGGAGAGAGCACTCCAGAGCTGCTGGAGGAGTGGCCAGGATGATGGATGAGTGTGTTCTGAGCAAGGGGAGGATTTTGAGGGTGGTGACTGGCAGTGTGTTCATTACTATAACACATTTGTTTAAAACTCAAGCATTCTCTGTATGCTCTGCTCAGACCTCATCATTTCCAGCTCCTTCAGAGTACTCGGCCTGCAGGAAGCAGCCAGGGACCCCGCGTGTATGCAGCCAGCTCTGCCACAGGACTACGGGGCTGGAGGTTTATTATCCAAATAAGGCTTCTGTCCCCAAGCACCCAGAACTGCCTCCTGATACGGTTTCATCTCCGCCCACCGCACAGGGCCAGGGCAGGAGTGCCCAGAGCAGGAACCTGCAACCTGCTCCCACGCAGGTGCACACTACACACCCCTTCCCCTGCTGCTCCCTGCATGCTGCGCCCCCAAGGGCATCTGTGGCCAGGCCGGGAACTGCAGCCCACTGGCTGTGAAGCAGGGCAGAGGGGTTTTGTAAGCGGGCTTCATGTGTGCACAGTGTACATGTGTGTGTGTGTGTGTGTGTGTGTGTGCACGCAGGAAGGGAGCCAGCATTTCTCAAAACAGCGCATTTAGCACTCATGACATTACACTTCCAGCTCCTTTGGAAAAGAAAAAACTGGTAAGACCTTGAACACTTGCACAGCACAAGCTGTCTTCATGCTTCCTCTGGCTCAGTGGCGTGGCGGACACTTCTGTCCCCTCGTGCTGGACACGACACCCACACCCCGGGGTCTGAAGGTCCTTGCTGACCTTGGCCCTCTCCTTGCCACTGCTCCCGGAGATCCCGACAGCGCCCCTGCTGGACCGGCGCTCTCCCACCTCCTCCCTCCCTGCCCTGGGCAGCACCTCAGGGGGCTCTGCAGGCCCTTGCAGGCAGGACTGGGGAGAAGAGCCCTTGGCCACCTGACCAGTAAGACCCAAAAGGCCCCTTTACAGGAAAATAGGACAAGGTTTTGGAGCAGTTCTTACATCGTTTGATCAAAGCCACTGACACAGAAATCTACATTTATCAATCTCTGTTGCTACATTTCCCCGCTTCTGTTGGCGTCTGGCAGAGCGTGGGGAGCCAGTGAACATCCAGGTCCGACCTCAGCACTCTGCTGGTCCTAGGTGTAGAGTCACAGAACCCACGGTGATGAAAGTGGGCACAGTTGTGGGAGTCTGGAAAGGGCACAGAGCTCTCACCCTGCGATCTGAATAAAGTTCTGCGAATGGATGCAGGAGGTGGCGGTGGCACTTAAGTTGGAATGCACTGAATGCTTCTGAAACTCGTGCTTCAAAATGCCTGACATGCCTGGCCTGGTGGCGCATGCCTGTGACCCCTAGGGTGCTCAGGGAGGCTGAGGCAGGACGTGGCAAACTGGAGCCAGCCTGGGCGATGCAGGGACCTGGCGAGACCCAGTCTCAAATCAGAAAGGGCTGCAGATGTAGCTCTGTGAAAGTCCCCAGAAAAAAGACTGACAAGGTAAATGCTATGCGGGGAGTTCCCTGCCCACATCAACATCATACTTAGGGCTACATGATCATCACAGCTCTGGTATCAGCCCCCTTCCCAGGACCTTCAGCCTCTGCCCGCTGGGTGCCCTCACCCCTCTAGCAGCTGGCTACAGGAGAAGAGGGATGCTGAGCCCATTGGGGTGCAGAGGTGGGACAGGGATGTGGCAGGAGGGTCTCCAGGAGAGGGAAAGAGGCTGCCCTTGCCGATGGCCCACATAGTGGAGACCAGGCTGGGTCCTCCTTCTGGCTCCAACCTGCAGGCCTGGCTGCTCTGGAGTTGATCAGTGGCCTCCTGAGAATAGTCATGGTGGGAAACACAAATGTCCCCAGAAAGAACATGGAATCCTCCTGCCTCAGCCTCTGGGATCCTGGGATAATAGGCAAGTGCCATCACACTCCAAGTATTAACCATTTTTAAAGCAGTTTGGCCCTGAGAACCCTGAAGGTTCTCACCAAGTAAGCAACACCTTGCTCAGAACCTGTGCAGAGCATGGGGTGGGAAGGAGAGACAGCAGGACCCTCAGAGCCTGTGAAGCAGGAACCTGGCCCTGGCCCAGCAGGTGCTCCCACCCATGTGAACACACAGGCTAGGCCACAGGCGTTCTCCTTGCCCCCCCACCCCCCACCCCGACCTAGGCTCTGGGCTGTTTAGAGCTGAGTCACTGAGCAGCAGCCCCACTCCTTCAGGGTCTTGGGGAAGCCGGGCATGCCTGGGCAGGCATGGAGAGAGGAGCACGTTCACATCTCAGTCATGGGTCAGCTCCAAAGGAGCCTGGCCCGCCACCCCCCAGGCAGGGTCTGGATGGCGCCTGCCTGGATCTTCAGAGGCTCCCAGCCTGCAGCTAGGGCTTGATGCCTGCTCCTAAAACCCAGAGGCACTAAGGCATCAGGGACACGAGTGTCAGGCTCAGGGGGTGGGCTGCTGAATTAAACCAGCTTCCATGGTGACAGGGGCAGGCTGCCAGGCCTGCAGATTGGGCAGGTATTCCGCCTCCTGCGGCCTCCACCACACCAGTGGAGCCAGCCTGCGGACGTGGTATAACATCCGTCACCGTACAAACACAGAAGGCCGCAGGGTCAGAGCTGCTCTCCCTGAGGTCTGTGTAGCTCCCCACTGACAACAGGGCTGCAGAGAACAGGGAGCGAGTGCTCACAGGAAACCCACTGAGAAGCCAGGCACACTGGGGAGCTATTCCACACCCTGGGTTCTGCACCTAGAAGGGAGCGTGGGGGCTGTCAATAGGTTGCCTCGATTTCCCTCTGTGCCCAGCCACAGCTCCAGACCCAAGTCCAAGGGAAGAGGCACCACACTCTCCTGCTTAGCAGTGAGAAGACGGGTCAGCAGGAGCCCTGCCAGGGAACAAGCCTGGGGTGGATGTCAGGGAGCCAAGCCTGGCTTCCTGGAGCTGACTGGAGTTCCAGTGGGGTCTTCTGGGGCCTGGGATACTACTTAGCCATGAAGTGCTTCTACCTCTTTTAAGTACTTTTTGAAAACCAAAGACCCTGGGGTAACAGGAGCAATCCAGACCCTCTGCGGGCTACCATGCTGGTACCCACAGGGACGCTGTCAGGGGCCACTCAGGCGAAGTTTGCCACAGAACTACAAAGTGACAAGCCTGCCCCTCAGATGAGGATCTGGACGACCTCTGTCAAGAGTCCCTGTGACTCAGGCAGAATCTTGGGCCTGTCAAGACAGGCTCAGGGACAGGGAGAGGTGGTGGCCAAGGAGGACAGAAGGACAATGGCAGGGCTGGTGGCAGGCACAGGTGGGTGGGCCAGGAGTTGGGTCCGTCTCCAGGGTTCCTCAATGTCTCTAGGGGTCAAGGCTCCTCTGGGCATCCAGCAAAAGCCACGAGCCTTCTCCACAGCAAGAAGCACCAGGGCTTCTTCACAATGTGGGTCAACCACGGAGAATGAAGGGACACGGGGTTCAGAACCCCTGCCACACATCTCAGAGCCCAGTGCACCCATGCCAGGGCCTCCCAAGCTCTCCCTCCTATATGTACCCTTGAACACAAAGCTTCACCAGAATACTGCCTAAGTGAAGATCTGGATCAGCACAGGCTAAGGCAGGCAGGCAGGTCACAGCAGGCTGGAAGCCCATTCAAACCACTGCAGTTCAGGCAGTGGGCATGGGCCACATCACAGGGCAATGCAGGCCCCTGTCTTCGGGATGTGGGTTCCAGATACAGCTCTGGGAGCTGGAAGCCTCTGCCACGTGAGGCGGGGCCAGAAAGACAGCAGGTCACTGAAGCACAGATACCACCATGCTGTGTACCCTCCAACAGAAGACGGACTCGGGCAAGCTACTCCACTCCGTGAGCCTCAGTTTCCCCAAGAGCTGAACAGAAGGAGAGCTCAAGGGCTTTTGTGAGGGTTAAGGAGAGGATTCCTGTGGTCTCCATGAGGAGACATGGTGCTCAAAGGCTGGAAGCACATTATAATTACTTCCACTACTATTAGCGGGTTTACTCTTTGGAATTAACAAAAACCCTCTTTCTTATCTCTGTGAGGGGAAAGTAGAAGCTAGCTCCTTAAGATTCCCAATAAAAGCTCATTTGTGCCCTGAATGCATTCAGAATTGACTAAGAAATTCTACTCACAATAGAATTTCATAGATCTGACCTGGGGCTGGGGGAGGCTTTCAGGAACTCAACATAAAAAGAAAGATCAGCTTCCCAGATAGGGTTCTCCAGGACGTAATAGCAAACGCTGTCCATAATCCTCACCAAACCCTAAAGGCAGGGGCCTGCATATACGGGAAGGTTGTTATCTCCTTGCACATCAAGTAAATATTCAGAGAGGAACATTTGAGAGC